AAGTGAGGCGAACGATAAGCCGAATTTAAACCTGCACTTTTGAGACGTCCAACTTTGTGCCCGAAATCGACTTGGGGGCGGTCAAATTTGAGACAATCCATCGTAGAGGGAGCCAATAAACTCAGCTTACCTGCCGATTGACGATAGTGGGGATTTGGGTGGAGAGAAATGGACGAACTGCTTGAGATGTTACGATTTAAGGAGGCATCATCGCTTCGTTTGGTATATGCTCCTACGGGGAGCAATTACGGGGGAGAGGAAGTGACACACATAAAATATAGCCACGAATGACGCACCAAGTCATCTTCCAATGAGCCGAAATTAATTGCCTCCTTCCTTTCCACTTTGTGGTTGAATGCAATAAAAAGGAATTGCTCTTTATAGCTGAGACGAAAGGGTTGTCCTGCGAAGAGTGAAGAGTATTGCAATACAAATTTGGGAACTTTTATTAGCCCTTGGTTGGACTACTGGATTAGCCTTGGACATTGCGATCATTGCTTTGGTGTCGTGCCTTCCACAACAACACCACAAGAAAAAAATTAGCACAATGAAGTGGACAAAATTGAAAATTAGAACTCCATTGTTAGCCTTAAGTTGAGTAGGAAAGACTGATCAGACTTGAGAGATTGCAGCGCCTCCTCGTGGCTACTCGGAGCTTTGGAAAGCGCCCGAAAATCGGACCTGGTAGCTCATCACTGATTCTCCTCCCACAGAAGTTCCTCTTTGTCAGGCAAGTGGGCCGCAGGACAGAGAATGGACGCGACGTCTTACTTGTTCCTAGATTGTGGCATGAGCATCGACGTTCAAGTTAGGTGAAAGGACAAGACTTGCAGCCTACTTCTCCCCTCCCGTTTTGCTCGCACTTCATTCTCATCCAGTGGAGGGATTACGGCAGCATCATGTTAAAGTCGCCTGTCCGACAGGACTGGACAAAGCGCCATCGCGCTCATGGAGGTAGGCACGACACTAACTTGACTCTCACCTTTAATTTTAGGCAGGCACAAAGGCTGAAACTACTTAAAATAGCATATTTTATCCTAGAATTGTAACTTTTTGATGTTTTTAATAAAAGCCATGACTGAGTGTTAAAAGGGACGAAGGCGACGTGGGGGTGGGGGGAGGGGCGGCGGAGGGGTCGTGAGTTTCCGGTTTCACGGCTTCCTGTCTGATGACAGAAATGTGATTTTTGTGCACAAAAATCACCTCTTTTGATGGAGCAAGGAGTCACAAACACTGGGAAAAGTTTCTCTCAAATCCGTCATTTTCTCTGTCAGACATGTAGAATTTGTAGTAGTAATTTTTTTTTGTAAAATTCAAAACTGCAGATTACTCGACTTTTATCCAATCATTAACTTTGTCACTCACTTATTCGCTCTGCTTCATTTTTTTTTTCAATTCTTTTGCCTTTTAACTTTCTCTGAACTGAGTAAACACGTTCAAACAGTCTTTTGGAATTCGATGCAGTTGCAAAGAAGAGTAAATTCCTTCGAAATCCTCACCAGATGAGCTGTAACATATAGTGGAAGCGCGGCTTGAGGAGCAGACGGACCCTTTGAAATGCTGTCCTCTTCCTTCCTCACTTCGCCTTACTAACACCTTTTGTTAGGTGTGTCAAGCAAACAGTCCCAAAGTGACCACTTTTTCGGTCTAGGTCCATGTGTTTCGAAAGTGGAGGAGAGGCGAGGGAGAAGAAAAGGAAATACTGCAACAAGACTTCGCAAAAGTTACCAATCCTTGCAGAAGTCAAAGTGTTGATGGTTTTTTGGCAACTTAGAGATGCACAACTGGTACAAATTCACAGTTGTCAGGTAGGTGATAATCAAAGATAATTTCTTTATGACGCCTCGGACGACGTGAACAGTTAAGCCACGGAGGTGAGGCGCTCTCAATCCGTTCAACTCGTCTCCTCATTCCGAGGCGTTTGAGGCGGTGGTAGAGGAGAGAAACGTCGGACCTTTGATGGTGAGAAAAGGCTCTAATCAAGCTAATCGCTACACTCCGCTCGACAGCAATGCCCCAGAGACATTTCCGAAAAGTGCTTTGGTCAGGAGCGTGAGAACATGAAAGGTCGCTGTTGGAACAATTTTAGCTTCTCAAATATCCCCTTAACCATGAGATTCCTGTATACATTCGAAAGGTGAACAAATAAATGTGGTACCGCTCTTCCTAGCTGTTTATTCCAGCCTCGAATCCCATTTAATGACTTCCCACCGATTTCGAAAGACCAGTGAAAGTTTATTTACTGTAAATCGAGAGAGAGAGAGGGAGAGACCGAGCACCAAGAAGTCGCTTAACAATTGGGACTACTCTACTTCCCTTCCCTCAAATTGTTTCTGTGCACAAAGGCTTTGCATTTCCTACCCAACCATGGATAAGCATTCACCATTTGTTTCACTGTTGCTATCGGTGGAGTTCCATGAAATTTTCACCAAAACCGCATTCCACACTCCTCTGCTACCGGTACAGACTCCCTTGTCGAAGTGAGTTAGACTTTAAAATCAACAAGAAATGCTTTAACACAGGGCATACAATCTTTAGCTGGAATCGTAAAGCTTGCAATCGTGTCGAGTTGTCTCTCGAGAACCGAACGTGCTGACTACTTGCATAAAATGTGCCAGTGAAGCGAAGGGTGGTCAGTTTTCTAAAAGTCCCTTACTCTTTAGCATGTCGTCGAACCTCGAAGACGGAGGAGGAGGAAGAGTAGGAGGAGGAGGAGGAGGAGGAGGAGGAGGAGGAGGAGAGAAAAATCCCACCTCGAATGCGTTAACTCGTGATATTTCGCCATCATCCACACCCTCTTTTGAAAGGTATGAACACCAAGGAAGGCGAAAAAACCACCCCGACCAGAATTTCAAAAGACCGTTTTTTGCAAGACTGCACCGCAAAAAATCTCACTGACCACTTTTTTTGAAATAACTTTTGGATCGAGATGATTAAAAAAGACAAAGAAAAAATAAAAATTTAAAATTTGAAGGCTATTTGGCAATCCTTAAATTGGTAGTCTCTTCAACTCTCCGTGAGTTGCGCCTTTCCCACTTTTTACTTCCTTGAAAAGTCCTTTGCCGAAATAAAAACTTGTGGTCTTTTCTGTGCCCCCCTTTCCACATAAATTATCTTCATATTAGAAAAAGGGACTTAAAAGACGCAAAACATTTTGACTCCCATGCGTTGGAAGCCTTTTTTTTTCCCTTTTTTTTTGAGTGGCAGAGATTAATTTGAAATTGTCGGCAATGTCTACAGTCAACTTTGTTATCGTATGATCTTGACTAACCGCAATGATTTCCACAGTCCTCTTTTACCCTCCGTGAGTAAAGTGAATATTTGTTTATGAAATTTAATTACTTGTAAGGCAAAGTTAAATAAGTTTTTAGTAAGTGCGTTCCCTTTACGGAAGTCACCACCCGACCTTGACAAGCCCACTTTCCTAGTCCTTGTGAGGCCCGTCCACTGAAAGGCGAGGACCCAAGGCTCTTGAAGTCAGAGTCAGAAGCGTGTATAACTTAATGCTCATCATTATTATCTTTGTTTTTATAAATCCCAACTGAAGACTATCTGCAAAATCATGTGTCCCACGACGCTATTGACTCAGAGCTGGGAAAAGTGGGCACCACAGACGACAGGCCAGAGAGGAGGACAAGAAGGAAGGCGGAAAAAGGACGAGAAAGAGAAAGAGAGAGAGGAAGAAGAAGAAGAAGAAAAAGAAGCCGAAGAAGTGAGAAATGGGAAAATTAGTGAAAGTTATGGGGTGGGAGAAGGGGAGGACATTTTGTGAATGATGCTATTTAGTGGGACGCCTTTTCCTCCCCTCTAGCCGATGAATCCGCGTCTCTTCTGCACCTCCGCGCCACGTTTGCCAATGAAGCCTCGACGCTTTGAAATTTCTAAAAGACAAAACTTTTAGCACCTTCCGTAAGGCATGGCAAAGTTAATCAAGGGCAATCGGCTTAATAACTGACAAAACTTACTGGATGGGAAACAGTGGGGTTTTGTGGGACATGAACCGCTTCCAAAAGCCATCACCACTTAACTCAGCTCGCATAAAATGGCTAATTCAGAGCCTCAAGTGATCTTAAAGGGAGGGCAGCCGCTTGACCTCAAAAGGCGTTTGATTATGCAACAAACTTTTGTATCTACAAGACCTTCCCTCAGTAAGTACTAATTCTGTCGAGATAATGAAACCAAGTCTTGTCCACATCCGCCCTCGATTGGGCGAGAAGAAGTCATAAGCTGGTAGTTGCATTGTTTAACAGCGGACACGGATGAGGAGGTGTGCCGCGATCAACTACTTTCAAAGGCAAGGACAAAAAGAGGAATTTGAATTTGTGAAAAGCGACAAATGTGATGGACCCCCACAACCCCTCCATTAGGTGCTCATTTTGACAGCAGTGAAGGTGAGTTGACAACTTAATTATCAATCCGGCATTGAAGGTGCCCCAAGGCAAGGCTGAACTTACGTGATAACAATTCCTCCTCCTCGAGGATGTTTTGAAGACAGGTGTTTTGAATTTCTTGGGAGTCCAAACATGTCGATCTTGGAAAAGCCTCATCACAAGCTCTACAAAAGAAGCCGTAAGATTGAAGGTAAGTGTGAGGGATGGAAAAAGAGTTGCCTCACAGTCCTTTGCTAACCTGCAAACGAGGAGGGAGACAAGATCGTCTCCTCCCAGTGGGGCAGCACTCAAACACTGCGAGTAGAAGGTCAGAGCCACGCAAAAAACAAACCACATCTGTTTTAGCCTAAAACAAAAATGACAAATTGACAAACTTATTATTTCCAGTCCACTGAATGACCATTTTTTTTCTGTCTGAGTGCAATTTAACTTTATGACAGGTACGTGGCTGAAATGCGAGACATAGTTGACAGGTTGTTGTGACATTTCAAACACAATCTTGCCATCATGGCATTTCAATGCTGTCATTCCTGCCAACAAACTGTCATCCTTTCTGTTCAGCAAAGTTGGCCACCACACACACGCACACCCACTTTGACTTTTAAATGTCCAAGGCGACAGAAATTTACCATCCTCCTTAAAAACCAAGAAGCTACTAATTGACTGGAAGGACTGTTTGGAAGTGTCTTTTGATCTCTCGTTTAATTACAGCATCGAATCCTGCAGTCCTTTTCTTTAACTTCAGGTCAGCCTGATCACAGTGAATCACCCTTCACTCACTCTCTCTCGCTCCTCATGCGGGTTGATGTTGACCATATGCTAAAAATTTGCTCCTTTTTCAAGGAAAGCAAACAACTGCACTGCCTCTGACAGCCATCGTCAATGCCTGATGGCATGAAAAAGGAATAATTAGTGGCGTAGGGGTGTATTAACGAGGTCACCACTTCAACGACAGCAAAAAGGTCACAATAAAAGGCAAAGTAGAAGAGAGACCCAAAGGATGCTAAACACAGTCGTCTTGGAGGCCAAGTTAGTGATTTCCTCTTGACTTACTTTACAATGCCAAGCTGGAGATAGCAAGGGGAGGTGAAGAAACCTAAACTGCACTTCCTTCTTACTTGTCAAATTACTACGACCTGTCTAAAGGGTTATCCAAGTGGAAGTTCGCATGAGCATCATTAAATAAAGGCAATAATTTTGTTATCTTGTCAGAAGTGATTGTGTGGGCGAAAAACCATTTCTCTTTGCTCCTAGGTGAGTGGGTCTGCAAGGGTTTTGTGATTACACCACTAGCCATGTCCGTTGGGAGTAAACAGGGAGCAATGGGATGGCTAAAATCGCATAAAACTAATGAAGTGAAGCCTCCTCAGAAATGAGGCTTAAATGTTGGTCAGTTAAATCACAATCACGCTCATTCGTTTAAATTGGGTACCAGTGATGTTCAAAATGAGTAGAATGAAAAAAGTGAAGTCCTTTTTCTCATCTGCGCTTATGAATTTAATTCTTTGCTCGCAAAATAAAAACAGATTGTTTAATTAGAATATCTTATTTGTACATACTTGAAAGATTTGATGGAGTGTTTGCAGAAAGTGGCTCAAAATTTTGTTTCCTCTATGCACACAAAAAGATGGCTTCTTACTTGATAGCGCAGCAATAACCAGATTGAAGTATTTTGTCAAATTGGAAATAGTTTATTAATTTGTAGAAAGTCAGCGCATTAGAGTTCGGACAAGGGAGGTTCCCCATTATCAGCCTAAATCCTTTTACCAACTTAAATGCAAAACACAAATTAAAAAGCGTTAGAATCTCGATTTTGCAGCCAGCTGAAATTGTAACAAACGTTTTTAAACTTACATTTTTTCTTGTTATGCCCAATGGTATTGTACATCGACAAATAGAAGGCCGAAATTTATATAAGATAATCGACCAATGAGTGACGACGTCGTGTGAGGGGAGCAATCTGATTGGGCGACAGAGGAAGTTGGCATTTAAGGGCGATAATCTATGCAAAACAAAAGCATTTAATGGTTTGGGGATAGATAGTTCATTATTAAAGTATGCTATGTCGATTACATGCATTAGGCATCTCTTGATGACTTGTGTTAAGTGTGAATGAAAAGATAATGTAAGGTAAATAAGGCAAAAACACTACGGCGTTTTATGAGGACTTCCCAATTGCATAGACTTGATACACCATCTAACTGTGTGCTGAAATGCATGAAAATTTCGTTACATCTCAATGTTCTTGAAAACCATAGTCATAGCCTCTCGACCTCTTTGCGTATTAGCACTGTGCATGTTGTCTCATACCAATTTGGGTTAACAGGACCTCTGGGAACACCCAAGACCCTATCAAGGTCGCAAAGCATCACATAAGTTTACCGAATTCGTTAACCCAAATGCTTTTATGCGAAACCGATTATCTAAAATAGCCGACTCCATCAAACAGTTTTGGGGTGTTGTACGCAAAGTAAAGGATTAGAATTTTAAGGAAAGGTATTCTACCATGCAATTCGTTCCCATATTTAAACTCTCTGGTCTCTGCAATGCTTCACTGGTTAAAGCCAATTTGCTTTGAAAAAATAACAACAACCCAGCAAATGGACAAGTCAGGTCGTCCATCTTTATCAAAATAACGCAAAATTCAGAATCCATTTGTATAAATTTTAAGTTGGTCTTAACTTTAGTGCTAGGTGGTAGCTTGATTGGGAAGATTGCAGTCCTTTATGAGTCATAATGCACTCCAAAAAGCAACGAAAACGATCACAATAAATCGTGCTTCAGTAAAGGCCTTTGGGCTCATCTTTAAAGGTCATATTGAGAACCGCAGATTGAAGCAAACGTTAATATTATCGTCCTGTCAAGTACTTACTGCTAATCTCTACACTGAACTGACTTAAAGGGGGAGAACAGTCAAAAGGGGCTTGTTAAGAAGGATGCTGTTACTCTTGTAGAAAGGTAGTCCTTCACTATTCTGAACCTAGCTTGTGTGGAAGGAGGAGGTCGATCGTCGTTAACAGGCGAATAAAAAGTCTTGCAACATTCGTGCCATACAAACATTCTATTTCTGACTCTTCTATACTTGCCTTTGTCTCCATATACGTGTAGATTAAGAGTTTTTGCTCATAAAAATATTAGCTACTTCGAGATGCTTCATGCTTACGCCCACTTGCCTTATTTTACGTCCTCCGCATTGTCTGGTTTGGCGCAACGGTAGTAGGCCCCAACTTTTATGCCACCATATTAGCCTTCACTTTTAATAGCTTTAGTTAACTGCACAAATACGTTTTATTTTAACATCATTTTACAAATTAGAAGTTCTAAGATAAATTCAGACATTTAGCATAACTTCCTACTTAAATGGATAATTAGTAGCGTGAACGCAATAATATTATTTCGGTACTGGCTACTCGAATTGTGTTAACCAACCAAAAAAAAACAAGCTAAAAGATATCCTAAATATTGGCTAACGGTGAGACCGATTCTTTATCAGTAACTGCAACATTTCCGGCAGTAAAACATTTGTTTAGGGGTGCTGCACGCCAACTGTGTTGATGACTTTGGTTCACCGAAAGAGGAGGTATAAAAGGTGGTCTTTTTAACTTTAATCTACTCCATAGTTGTGGACAACATCACTTTTAAAATCCCAAAACATTTGAATAAAATATAAGCTTGCACCTACACCTATTTGGGTAAATGATGCACCCTCTAATTAAATATTCATCTTTCCTGGGGTGCCTTTGTTACAGAGGGAATGTTTAATGTAGCTAAAACTCCTTCCAAGCAAGTCAAGAATGTAAACTGTTCTTCAAAAGGTTAATGTGTGTGCGCATCACTTGAGCCAAAGTGTATTTCCTCCACAGAAGTGACAGTTCGTAAAGTCGACATGGCAGTCCACTCCCCTCACCATCAAAAAATGGAGAAAAGTCACTGGTTGTTTAAATGGTTCTACTCTAGCATTAACTGACATTGGAATGCAAAATAAGTTTTATAGCGTCCCAGTAGTTATGTGGTTACAGCTGCCTCCTTGTTTCATCCGATCCCTTAATAGTATCAACGAAAATTATTGATGTAAAGGAAGTACAATGCCGTGGGAGGAGAAGGCTAAGAAAAGGGAGGATAAAAGGCGTGTCGATGGGACCTGCTTAATCAGCAGAAGTCCCAACATCTACATACACGAGACACAATAGACAAAATTCGCATCTTTTGGTCCGAAACACCATCTACCTTGCAAGCATTTTGGCCCGTGGCACCCACAGGGCGCAGTAGGCCAAGGCGGCACAGAAGGCCGCTCTGGGGCGGGGTGGGAGCACCGCTTGGGCGTGGCGGAGCGCAAACTCGACCATCCGAGCACCATTAAAAGCCTCAATCTAAGTCATTGTAATTCCTCTCACAATGCAATTCAGTTCTCACGTGGCTAAGGAGGACTGCCCAACTGAATTCACCTGCTCTTTTGCGCGCTTGCGGAGAGTGAAAGAATACAAGCTCACGCTCATTAAAGCTGTACAGGGAATTTCATTTTAGTCCTCTTTTGGACCGTTCCTGTGATTCCTTCATAGGAGTAAAAAAGGGAGTACAGCAAACGAATTTCGAGTTTATTAATTATTCCTCTTCCTCCTGATTCAAGCACGGATTTTAATGCTTTTCAGCAAAGATTTCAAGTGCTTTCTTGCCTAAAGCATCAAAGTTTTACCCGCCCATTCCCGATTAGCTTAATAAATTTACCTGAGCTTTAAAATGCTGGTGGAGGATCATGAACTTGGCCAATTTGAGATCCAACAAAAGGTGCTTCTCAAGAGACACCTTTCATTTGGACATTCATTTCAAAGAAGACGCCCTCATAAGTGCGGCTCAAAGCATCGCTTAGAATTGCCCAAGCAAAACGTTCGCTTCTCGCCTCGATCTTTGCCCTCTGGCGGGTACGAAGGGTGCTGCCGAGTAGTTCTGAGGTGAGGTGACCAGACCTTGATTATTTTGTCACCGAATAAAAGTCAAGTTTTTTGGGATTTGTCATAATCTTCCAACAGCATGCTTTGCAGTCTGCATTGCATTTCTGAGCATAAAATGCGTGCGGTAATTTGGGATGTTCAGGTGCCCGGAAAAAGCGGTTTCAGCTTAGTAGAAGACTTCAAATTCGGTGACATTTATTGTCTTATGACTGACACTCAGTCAGTTGTCTCTACTTTCAGGTTACAGATGAACAATGTCCTGGAAACCATTTAACTGTTGATTAGGTTTTTATTTACGATAAAAGGCTTCTCGCACTCGGTTTAAACCTTTCCGATGAGGCTGAAAGCCTCATGCACGCGTCAAACAAGTCGCCTAAAAAGAAAATCAACAAAGTAGTTTTCTAACTTTTAGAGATCTGTGAAACTATTTAAAGCCCAAGTTGTTTCACATTTTTAGAGGGCATCAGTGGCAGCAGCTACAGCCTCTGGTCGCTTAAATTCTTTTCAGTAGTTGAGGTGGACAAGAATGGAATGCAAACGCATCATTTGCCGCAAAAAAGAAACTGAAAGCTACTACATTTTATGCAATACTGAACCATCAAAGCAGTCGAATGCATCACTAAGCACTTCGTCCGTTCAAACTTCTAGTAATAATTTGAATTACAAATTGCAGATGCATAAATCGTCATTTGGTTTACGTAGATGAGACGTTCTAAGAGGATCGCATTAAATAATTCACAAAACCTTCACTCCTTCTTAACTACGCAAGTGAAGTAGACCACTCTAAATTCGCATTTTACATCCCCTTCTGCCTTTTTACAACAGAATGTTCGACAAACTTCTACCACCAACACTGGATGGCGGAGGTGAATGCTCTGCCCTACCAAGCAAATAAAAAAGGGAAGTATTGCGCACATACGGAGAGTGTGGACCGGGTGACAAGCCTGGCGGTTCTACACGACGATAGATTAGCCTGATAAATGGGACACCTTAAACTGTGGCGCGTCAATTATGCTGCCGTTGTGTAACCGCCGTTGCCGCCGTCTCGGTTTTTTTTCAACTCACTGGCTAATTTAATCAACTGAAGTGGAGGATGTTGAAGACCCGCGCGTGCACATCTTCAGCCAACCTTCGCTGCTAAAGTGGAGTGTTACTGTTAATTGCTTAGAGTCTGTTGTCTGTTAACCCTCCATTGACGCCTCAAATTATCAATGCAGTGAGTTTAAAAAGGCGGGTTAGAAAATTGCCAAAAATTTGCCATTACTTTTTTCCCAAAATTAGCTTAAACTTTGATCAAGACGAGGTTTTACTTTCATTGCCAATTAGCGTCGAATAGGTGAAATTTTCCGTCCTTCTCTTCAGACTTTCAAGGATCAAGAGACATTCGTGGCCTGTGCACTCTAAAAGGCGTCAAAATAAGTTAGCGCTCCCCAAAGTAGCTTCGTTTTTCAAGAGTTTTCGCTTCATATCCGAAGGGAGCCTCCACTCTTCATCCCCAAAAAACCTGTCATCTCGACGGTACCGCTACAATCACCTTTGCCCTAGAAACCAGTTGTCGAAACCTGTCCATCGAGGGCACACCGTGGCCAACGAGGGGCGGTGGGAGCGGGGCCGCACCGCTTGAACATGCGAAGGCCTAATTGTACTGCGCTGTGGCACTCCGCTTTGCTGAACGAGCAGTCCGTAGTTGAGGAGAAAGATTTTTGGGTACTGTTTCGCTTCAAAGGCACTCCCATGTGTGAGCTGCTAGGGAGGATCGTAGTCCTGGTGTTTGCATACTCCAACCGTTCCGTTAACCAATTGGTTCTGGGATTCCGATTGACGCCGAGGTGGCCGAAAAATGAACCAGCTAAAGCCTCCTCTGTGGAACCGCTCTCAAATTGATGTTATGTAGGAAAAACTGGACATTTCAGCAGTGTCAATGAAGTCTTCTCGACCTTCATCATCACAAACTACTAAACTGGACGGAATGTAGAAGTTCACAAAGTGATAATATCATGCGGACCCACAGAGTAGCATCCAAGATGCCTCATCAAAGAAGCCTCCCAAGTGTTGGCAGTGACAATGATTTAAGTGTATTCAAACAAGTGACAACTTACAATGACTTGCTTCATGCACCTTCTCAAAGGTCTCCACTCGACTTCCACAACTTTGCAACTGTTTGCAAGGGTCATACCATCAAAAGCAGAAGTCGAGTTTGGTCAGACGGTTTCATCAAGTTGAGTTTTCACTTAATGCAAATGTGCTGTGGAAATGAAAAATGAATTTAATGCTCTTTAATGAGGTCAAGCACTACTATCAGGTCAAGTGCTATTTCCACACTGTCCTGACTCACTTCAATTTACTTATCAGGGTTAAATGCTCCTAATCAAGCAATCAAATGGCTTAAGCGGACAACAATTTGAGGACTGTTGGGACAGCGGTTTCTGGTAAAGCAAAACGATTTGACCTTGCGATCAGAGTGATCCACTTTATGGCCATTCTGGACGGTGATGGCTATCTGCTTTAAAAACAAGTCATGATACCGTGCAGCGAGCAGTGCGGCCAGGCTTCTACGCATTTGCCCTCGGTAGTTCGTATTTCCCTTCCCACCTCTGCCAATTGTGAGATGCAGGGGGAAAGCACTGCTTCCAATCCTTTGGCATGCGACAGCAGCTGACCTCGGATCCTCCCTCCTGCCGTGTGTGTTGCTTTGTTCATGCGCTTGCGTTTGCCCTGCGGATTGGCATCCGGAGTAGGTAAAAGCCTCGCTTCTAGTCCTACCTCGCCAATGGCTTCACTAGCGACAGCAGAAAGCGAACTCGTCTATGTAAAATATTAATGCTGGTTTTATAAGTTGTGAATGAAGCGCATTAACGTCGGACTGCAAGGAATGACGTCTGTGCTTGGTGTTCGTCCCCAACCGCCGTGTTTCCAAAATTTGTTATTATCAACTGATCTCACAACACCGTGGATCATCAAAAACTGTTTTGTTTTAGGAATACTCCTTACTGCATTCGCAAACGGATGTCAGCGATGGTGTTATTCCATACTCCTCTCCATTCCTTGTCAGGCGTCTTTTTAACCAGCATTTCCAATCCCTGGTTTGATTGCAACTGATAGTCAACACGTACCCGCTGTGCTTTTTTTTTTTTGGACCGAACGTGAATCCGGATCCCCTTGTCGATGCTGACAAGGCTGGCGTTGGTGATGTGATGGCTGGCCCGCCCCTCCACCCCTCTGTTCCCCTGAAGCTTCAAAGTTATGAGGGTTTGTTCTAAAATCACTTGCTCAACACCTTCGGGTACCAACTATTGCTGTCGGGTTACCAAACTCTCCACAGGAGGTAACTGCAAGAGAGACAGACCAGACCAGTGCGACAAAGACGCACTTCAGAGGCGTTAGTAGAGAATGCAAACACATTTCCATATTCCACTCGATCATTAATAATATTCAATTAGAAGAGTGTTTTGAAGGACTGAAAATGAGCGTCTCCAACTCTTCACATGATTTATTATTGTTATTTGCACGATTAAATTCGTTATTTGTGAGGCTTTCTCTGCCACCCACGGCGTTTGGGTGGATGATGAAGTAACTGTTTGTTGGAATTTTATCCACTCTTGGCGTAAATGATGCGTTTGCCTTCGCCATATGAGAGCGTTTCAATGTGAAGACGTAACTCATGCAAAATGTGGTCCTCGGCGTTGCTAAATGCGATACCCGTTTCATTGAAGGCGGAAAGAGGCCTTCAAAACATCCCAAAAGTCTTATACGATCTTCTAAATGGGGTGATCACGTGAACAGTGCATTGTAGTTGATTGAGACGTTGATGAGGTGATGAGCGGAGGAGGTCCGAGTGTCAGTAGGACCGTACGACTCAACCTTCTAACCTTGGCTTATCCACTTCGACTCCTTTGCTGGGTAAGAGGAGGCTAGTGAGTGCAGTGCAGTACATTTTTTACCGAATTTTCGGGTTAAGCTTTGATGATGATACACCGATGTATTTGTAGGCTCAAGACTTGTCCACTGATGAGAGAGGCGCCAAGTGATAAGACTCTTGTTGTTTCGCCGTCGGCTGTTGGCACTGCCAGCAATTTGGTGCTGTGGCATTAGCGGTGGGAAAGCACAAACTCCAGACGCGTTACAATGCGTCATACCGCACTCGGTCCCTTTGATGATACTTACAGTATTTGGGGACTAAAAGTAACTCATTTTGAAGGAGACTGCAGTTTCAGATCCGATTGGTCGAAAGGAAACAGTCCATCATTGTTTGGAGAGCTTAAAATCCTCCTGAAAATGAGACGTTGATGTGGATATTTGCTTAGATAGGAGATGATGAAGTTTTGAATGCGGATGTGTCAAAGATGTCACATTGGAGGGGTGAAGAGGTGGGAGGGTTGAGTGAACTGTGCCTCAAA